ATGTGAGCTTAGAAGTTCGAGGCCGCAGTGAGCTATGAATGCACCACTGCACTCCAGCCTGAGCAACAGAGTGAGACCTTGCCTCAAAAATTAAAAAATGAAATAAATATAAAGAGAGAGAGAGGACGCCATCTCTGTGGTGCTGTTTAGCTGTGTTACATAACTGGTATTTTATTTGGAAAAAAACCCCAAAACTCCTGCAAGGGGCTCATTTCCTCGGATCAAATGTGTTCCAGGTGTTGGTGTGCATTCGGCACCGCGCATTCTTCAGCCCCGGTTGTTCTGTTTTATTTTATGTAAAACTCCATTTCAAAATGCAGGTCTTCCCAGAAGAGTGTGTGCCCATTCTCCTTCAGGCTGTGCTGAGTGGAAGGTGCTAAACACCTGCCTGAGGCCAGGTGCAGGCCACACACCTGGGCAGGTGCCACTCCACCGCCTACCCCCAAGTGCACCCTCTGGGTAAACACAAGCTCTGCTGGGCCCCAGCCACCACCAAGGGTCTGGTTTCACTGTTGCTAAGGATAGTGAACTTTTTAAAACAACCTTCCCTTTCTTCTCTAATCTGGTAGAAAAACAAAAGCCCAGTCAGGAACCAATCAAGTGGAAGAGAGTGCGGCTAAATAAAATAAACATTGCACTTGACTTTCTCTGACACCAGTTCCCAGAATCTCTTGAGTCACCCGTGGGAGGATCCATATGCAGAGGTTGTTTTGGAGAGCTTCGCCAAGGGGTCTCTTGCAGGGCCTGAGGTCCAACATTTCAGGGAGCAGGAAGAAAGAAGAAGGAGGCTTCCTCTTCTCATATTGCTTCCTCTTCACATCACCTCCCCCTGAACCTCAAGAACAGGGCTGGGTACAATGGCTCATGTCTGTAATCCCAGTGCGTTGGGAGGCTGAGGCAGGAGGATCACTTGAGGCCAGGAGTTTAAGACTAGCCTGGGCAACAGAGTGAAACCCCTCCTTTTCTACTTTAAATTTTTTTTTTACAGGCGAGGTGCAGTGACTCACGCCTATAATCCCAACACTTTGGGAGGCCAAGGTGGGCAGTTCACTTGAGCTCAGGAGTTTGAGACCAGCCTGGGCAACATGGCAAAATCCCATCTCTACAAAAAATACAAAAATTAGCCAGGCATGGTGGTGCACACCTGTAGTCCCAGGTACTTGGAGGCTGAGGTGGGAGGATCACCTGAGCCTAGAAGGCAGAGATTGCAGTGAGCCAAGATTGTATCACTGCACTCCAGCCTGAGTGACAGTGAGACTCTGTCTCAAAAAAGGAAAAAAGAAAAGAAATTAAAATTAAATAAATTTTTAAAATATTGTTTTCTTTTTCTTTGTTTCTTTTTTCTTTTTCTTTTTTTTTTTTTTTAACTAAGAAGGCTCCTAAGAGCCAGGCTATTAGCACCATCATCCCTTTCAAGTGCTATATAGTGATCAGGTGAAACTGGAGAACGTCTGAGTTGGGAGAGAATTCTAAGATCTCAAGTGTAAAAGCTTAATCTCACTGACTGAAAACTGAAGTCCAGAAAAGGAAAGAGGTTTTTGGCAAGGGACACAGCCAACTGGTGGCAGAGCTGACAATAGAACCCAGGATCCTTTTGACACCCCCCACCCCACATACACACACCCTCCCAAAGTGTGATCTCGCTCCAAAAAACTAGCTTCTCTCCGAGTTTTCGCGTTTCTATCAGAAGCCCCCTCATCCTTTTTTTTTCTTCCCCCTTTATGGCTATCTATATTCTACAGGAAGGACAGAAGCCCTTTTCTTCTCAGGGAATAAGATTGGGAATCTTGGCCAGGTGCAGTGGCTCACGCCTGTAATCCCAACACTTTGGGAGCCAAGGTGGGCAGATCCCCTGAGGTCAGGAGTTCAAGACCAGCCTGGCCAACATGATGAAACCTCATCTCTACTAAAAATACCAAACTAGCCGGGCGTGGTGGCGCATGCCTGTAATCCCAACTACTCAGTAGGCTGAGGCAGGAGAATTGCTTGAACCTGGGAGGCGGAGGTTGCAGTGAGCCGAGATTCTGCCACTGCACTCCAGCCTGGGCCATAAGAGTGAAGCTCTGTCTCAAGATAATAATAATAATAATAAATAAAAAGATTGGGAATCTTGAGAGACTAAAAGAAAAGGGCAAATAAGTAAAGAAAAAAGAAGAGATTGGGAATCTGAGAGTCATTCTTAAGTGTTTTTCTTCTCCCATGTGTGCAAGTAATGAATCCTGTTGAGGGTTACTTTAAAATATCTTACTCTCTATTCCACCCTAGCCTTCAGTCCGTGCCTCCTGCTATCCCCTACCTCTGACCTCTCTCCAGGCCACCTGGTAGATAGCTTACATTGATGATAACTTACAGTTGCCATACACGTACATGGCATCACTGTACTGTGTTCTACATGTGTTATTTTATTCCCTTAAAAGACCCCATAAGCTGGATGCTTTTATTACCCCCATTTTATAGATGAAGAAACTGAGGCTCAGTGCAGTTAAATAATATTTATAAGATCTCACAGCAAGCAAGGAGCAGAACTGTGATTTTATTTATTTATTTATTATTTTTTTGAGACAGAGTCTTGCTCTGTCACCCAGGCTGGAATGCAGTGGTGCGATCTCACCTCACTGCAGCCTCCGCCTCCCAGGTTCAAGCAATTCTCCTGCCTCAGCCCTCAAGTAGCTGGGATTACAGGTGCCTGCCACCATGCCCGGCTAATTTTTGTATTTTTAGTAGAGACGGGGTTTTGCCATGTTAGCCTCGAACTCCCGACCTCAGGTGATCTACCCACTTCAGCCTCCCAAAGTGCTGGGATTGAAGGGGTGAGCCACTGCGCCTGGCCAGAACTGGGATTTTAGAAGAACCAAGTGGTCTGGTGCCAAAATCCAAACTCCCAACTACTATACCATATTGCGTTTCTCTGAAGCACCAATATGACCATGTCACTCCTGTGCTCAAGTCTCTTCAGTGGCTCCCTTCTGACTGTGGTTGCCCAAATTCCTAGTTGGGCATTAACGACTCTTCTGTGGTTTGCCTCTCCCTCTCCTGCAGGTAAGTTAATGAACGTTGTTGTGCCTCAGATTCCTCATCTACCACTTGAGTTGTGATAATACCCTCTTATGAGGCTGTCATGAGGATGAAAGGAGGTCACTCAGCACAAAGTGACACAATTGGTGTTAGTGATCATTTAGTCACCTTTGTACTGTTTCTCACAACTTACTTAGAGGACCCCTCTGGGCAGAATGTTGCTGCAAATAAACAGTGCTTGTTGCTACACTGAATGCGAATGTAATTTTTCCCTTCTTAGAAATGTTCCCCACTCCCATATGCCAACATCTCCAAATCCTTCCAAACCCAACCATCCTCCAATCACTCTACTTCAGTACCCCTGCCCCCCGCCCCCCGCCCCAGCCACCCCCTTCTACTAATTGAAACTCCCAGGACACTTACTTTTTTTTTGAGGCAGAGTCTTGCTCTTTCACCTAAGCTGGAGTGCAGTGGCGCCATCTCAGCTCACTGCAACCTCCACCTCCCAGGTTCAAGTGATTCTCCTGCCTCAGCCTCCCGAGTAGCTGGGACTAGAGGCTCGCACCACCATGCCCAGCTAAGTTTTGTATTTTTAGTAGAGATGAGGTTTCATCATTTTGGCCAGGCTGGTCTCGAGCTCCTGACCTCAAGCGATCTGTCCACCTCAGTCTCCCAAAGTGCTGAGAGTACAGGCGTGAGCCACCAACTCCTGGCCTCAGGGACATTTATTCTCATCATCCTTTTTTGTCCACACCACTATTTATTTGCTCATGTGTTAAACATTTATCCAGTGCTTACTCTGATAATAACAATACCTGCACAGACAGTCCCCGAGTTAATGGTGATTGACTTAATGATATTTTCAGTTGACTATGGGTTTACAGGGATGTAACCCCATCTTACACTTGCTTGGTTATTTTTTCTTTCTTTTTTTTTTTTTTTTTCCTTTCTGTGGAAAACGGGGTCTTGCTGTATTGCCCAGGCAGGTCTCGAACTCCTGGGCTCAAGCTATCCTCCCGCCTTCTCCTCCCGAAGAGCCAGGATTACAGGCGTGAGCCTGTATTTTCAGAAGCCCCCTCATCCTTTTTCTTCCCCCTTTATGGCTATCTTCCACAGGAAGGACAGAAGCCCTTTTCCTCTCAGTGAATAAGATTGGGAATACTTGGCCGGCCCCAGCGGCTCACACCTGTAATCCCAGCACTTTGGGAGGCTCAGGTGGGCAGATGCCCTGAGGTCTGGTGGATGTAACCCCACCTTAAGTCAAGGAGCATCTGTATTTGACTTGATACTTTACGAAGCGCTCCATACCACAGCTCTGCGTCTGTAAATCCTCACAAAAGCCTTGGAAGGGATTCCCATTTTTAGGCTGCCCTAGTTTTACCAGCTGGTGGTAAACCCTGGTGTCAGCACCAGGGTTCCTGGGGATCCAGAGGTGATGCTGACAGGACCCCCGTCTTCAGGACAGGTATTGCTGGGTCTGTCCCACAGACCATGGCCGACGGATGAAATGAGTCCTCAGACAGAGGTATGCGGTGTAAGAGCAGCTGGGCGACTGCCTGGCTCTTGTGTCCGGAGAGCAGCCTGAGAGCTGGGGCTGCTTTGCTTTTCTTCAGTGCAGGCACAATGACGAAAACCTGGAGCCAACACAAGCTGCAGGTAATTAACATTTATCGTTCCCCTTTCAGGGAACACGATGCACATGGATGATCAATGGTCAGTTCCTGGTCAATGTAAGTAAACAAGCCTGTTTAAGATAAATTCCCCCACACTGCCTTGTACGACTCCTTGCCCTCTGCCTTAAGGTTATAGAACAGCTGCCTTCTGCTATTCTTCCCCGAGGCTCTGCAGAACCTTCTGACCTTTCAGAAGGTTTGCGTCCTTTCTCTCTATAGTTTTTCCACCACTCTGACGAATCCCCCACAATGTATCGCTTTGTATGCAAAGCCAGGCCTGTCCATGCAGGGTGACAATCCAAGGTAGACAGTGGCAAAATCTGGTGGAGGCATCAGAGACAGTGCCATCAGTTCGCTGGAACAAGCGTATCAAGGAGCCTGGCAGATCTACACGTTACCAGACAGTGCCCATGGCCAACAGGGCAGGCCCTTGCTGCAGAGAAACACTCAGAAATCAAAACTCCTTGCTCTGCTGTCACGGACCTCTCCAGGAGATCCTCAGTGTCATCAGAAGCTGAAAAAGCAGTGCTGAGAAATGTAGCCTGCCATCTTTCCAGCTAAGGGAGGAGGCCCATTCAACCCTGGGTCGTCCTCTGCAAACGTGCTGCTGCAGGTCGCATGGCACCATCTCCTGATTGCAATTGGCTTTCCTGAGGGAGTGAACTGACTGAAATGGGATGGTAATAAGTTGCTAGGTTATTTTCCACTTTTTAGTTTATGAGGCTTATTGATTTTGCTTTAACATTAACTACTGCCTTCCTTTTAAGGAGCTGGTGAGGCAGAGCATGGCAGCAGGTTGAGGGTGGGGAAGTGGCACCACCTCCTTTCGGGGAGGATTTGGGAGGGTGAAAAGCACCCTCATCTTCTCAGTTGCGTGTGAACAAACCACCTGTCAAGGTGGGTCCTTCATCTATAGGAGGATGATGTCAGCCCTTCAGGGAGGTCTGTTTTCTTCCTCCATTTCCCAACCCCTTCATTATCATTCCTTCCACAACAGAGTAAGTTTCTTGAGCAAAGCAGCAATATCTAGCAATTTTAGATAGACATTTACCTTTTGACCTAGAAATCTCACTTCTACGAATCCATCCTGAAGACACACTCTCAGCTGGATGTGGTCGCTCATGCCTGTGATCCTAACACTTTGGGAGGCTAAAGCAGGAGAATCACTTGGGCTCAGGAGCTCAAGACCAGCCTGGGCAACATAGCAAGACCCTATCTCTACAAAAAAAAAAAAAAAAGATAAAAAAAACAGTCAAAAATTCAAAAATTAATCAATATACATAAGGCCATTTATTACAGAAACATTGGTAGTAGCAAAAGACTGGAAATAACTCAATGCCCTTCAATAGGGAACAGAGTAAATAAGCTAGGATGCCTACGCATAATGGAGTGCCATGCAGCTTTGAAAGGAAATGAGGCATATTTCTGTGTTCTATGTTGTGATCGCCAGCATATAGCCTAATGAGTAAAAAGCCAGGTGAAGAAAATTCTGATAGTATGCTATCATTGGGGGGGAATATGAATATACTGGTATATCACATAGGAGGAGATAGAGAATAGAGTGAGAGGATTGGGATAGAAGCTAGACTTTTCTAAATATAACTTGTTTTATAGATTTATGTTGGAAGTTTGTGGATATAGTACTTTAGAAAAGTATAAAACAAAATTAGACTTGACAAAATGTAAAAGTCAATCTGTTAAGTTGGTGGTGTAACTACACAGTGAGAAACTATTGCAAATGACCTTAACACTCAGGAATTCCACTGTATATTCCTAATGGGAGATCCCCTCATGACCAAACTCAAACCCAGTCCAATCGAATCAAAAAACCTTCTAAAATATGTGAAACTGTTTTGAGTAATGAAGTGAGAAGTGTGGCAGTGTTGGTGATACGGCTTGGCTGTGTCCCCACCCCGACATCATCTTGAATCGGAACTCCCACAATTCCCACATGTCGTGAGAGGAACCCCGTGGGAGGTGACTGAACTGTGGGTGTGGGTCTTTCCTGCGCTCTTCCCATGATAGTAAATGACAAGATCTGATGATTTTAAAAATGGTTTCCCTGCACAAGCTCTCTCTCTTGCCTGCCACCATCTACGTAAGATGTGACTTGTTCCTCCTTGCCTTCCACTGTGATTGGGAGGACTCCCCAGCCATGTGGAAGTATTAGTCCAGTAAACCTCTTTTTCTTCCCAATCTCGGGTATGTCTTTATCAGCAGCGTGAAAATGGACTAATACAGTAAATTGGTACCAATAGAATGGGGTGTTGCTGAAAAGATACCCAAAAATGTGGGAGCAACTTTGGAACTGAATTATCAGATAGAGGCTGGAACAGTTTGGAGGGCTCAGAAGAAGACAGGAAAATGTGGGAAAGTTTGGAACTTCCTAGAGACTTGTTGAATGGCTTTGACAAAAATGCTGATAGTGATGTGAACAATAAGGTCCAGGCTGAGGTGGTCTCAGATGGAGATGAGGAACTTGTTGGGAACTGGAGCAAAGGTGACCCTTGTTATGTTTTAGCAAAGAGACTGGTGGCATTTTGCTCCTGCCCTAGAGATTTGCGGAACTTTGAACTTGAGAGAGATGATTTAGGGTATCTGGTGGAAGAAATGTCTAAGCAACAAAGCATTCAAGAGGTGACTTAGGTGCTATTAAATGCATCCAGTTTTATAAGGGAAGCAGAGCATAAAAGTTCAGAAACTTTGCAGCCTGACAGTGTAATAGAAAAGAAAATTCTAAGGCCGGGCGCGGTGGCTCAAGCCTGTAATCCCAGCACTTTGGGAGGCCGAGGCGGGTGGATCATGAGGTCAGGAGATCAAGACTATCCTGGCTAACATGGTGAAACCCCGTCTCTACCAAAAATACAAAATACTAGCCGGGCGTGGTGGCGCGCGCCTGTAGTCTCAGCTACTTGGGAGGCTGAGGCGGGAGAATG